TATGAGAGGTTCGAAGTCCCCATAAAAGCTAAACTAAGAAAAAATGTTATGACCCATTTATGATCCCGTCCCCACATTATTGTCATCATTACCACCATCATCAGCATCATCATAAGTTAGCACACAGACCACTAGTTATTGAATATTATTGTTTTATCAGTTACTCTGACAGATATTTCATTAAAATCTCACTTACCATTAAAATGCAATTATATCCATGTTACAGATTTAAAAACTGCAGATTTTGAGAGACTTAGTAACTTGTCCAAGATCCAAGCCAACCAAGAGCCAAAAGTTCATATAATTAAAAGAGACAGGTGCTTAAAATTAGTATGTATTTAAGGGTAGATTTCCATTTGGTGATTTACCTTAAATAAGATTTTTAAAGGCAGAATAGGGCACTGGCTACCAATGCCACGGGAGAAACTCCAGCTACATCAAGGATACAAATGATGATCTCAGTGTATGCCCAGGGACTTTAGAAGTTCAAGCACACTGCCCCCTGTGACATGGTACAGGAGTTGCCAAGGAAAACACAAAGCAGTCACGCACTGGAGGGAACACTTTTTCACACAGAGAAGAGAAAGCAAGATCATCTCTAATAGTGTCAGTACAGGTTAGTATGTCCCTGGGAACAGGCACAGGACATCTAGGTTATGCATACTTGTCTTGGGATGCAATAGAAAGATAAGATTCCTTCCCTGTGCTGCTTGAAATACACTGAAAAAGGGGGTGAACCCGAGGCCAGTGACTTACACATTTAAGTGGAACAAAGGAAAATTCACTGACCTCAAAACAGGGAAAGATAATCCTCATCGGACGATAAGCTCTTTCAGTCCATGGGGGCTCTTTAACTCTTGGGGAGGAAGGATTCCAGCCCCAAGGCCCATTTTTTTTTCAGCCCAGTGGGAGTTGAAATACTGCATGCAGGAGAGTGCCCTTTCCAGTACAAGGAACAAGCTTTCCTGGTGCCTGAAGATGGGGTTTGGCCACAGGTTAACTATTCGAGAACATATCTGCTGCTCTAACAAGAGATATCTACATCATTCTTAGTCTGACCTATCCTCTGTCTTTGTTGGGACTTGTTCTCTGTCTTTGGTACCCAACAGCTACATTTGACTGGCTGCTAGTAGGTGCTTATGAACAAAGGATGTAGAGACTTCTTGGAATAGACGCTAAAACTCTTGTGAGGGACTTCTTGTCAGTAGGAACAGTGCTTTCTTGACGCCTGCAAGGTATATTGTTTCTAATTCCATTAATAATACTATTAATATTATTCATAATTTGTGCTATGGATGGAGATTTAGCTCAGCAGTGCTGTTGCCTGCCCTGCAAGGGCAAGGTCCAGAGTTGAATGCCTGGTACCAAAAAAAAAAAAGTGCTATGACTTACATAGACCTTACAGCCTTTAACCCTCTAAACCTTTAACATTTATTGAGCCATTTAATTGTCCCAATAACCCCACACCATAGGTACCATTAGTCTCCCCATTATACAGATGAAGAACAGAGACATAGAGAGATCAGTACCTTGCTCAAGGTCATCCAGCTAGCAAGTGGGACAGCCAGCATTCCCCTCTTCGGTAGTTGACCTTACCTGTTCACAGGGTGCTTACTAATTAGGCTGTAACTGCAAAGACAAGAGGCAAATCTTACATATCTTTGTCTTCAGCTCTGTGCACATTGCCTGGCACCAGCAGGCACTCAAAAATTTTATTTATCAAGGGAGCATGTGGTCACTGGGGAGCAACTGAGGAACAGTCATGGTTCGATCACCCAGGTTTGCCTCTTTGCTTCAGGAGAGAGAGAGAGAGAGAGAGAGAGAGAGAGAGAGAGAGGGCACTCCAGAGAGGGATTGCAGAACAGCCTTATCTAACTCACTTTATCCTGATGGGCTGGTTTGTACCTTCTTGACACCAGGCCTGCTTTCAGAAGATGAAGGGATTTGTGGGTTTCTAACCTCCACCCTCTTGGCTCCAGGAAGCTGGCTCTGGTTTCTCTCCACTTTAGGTGCACGTGTTTCGTTCTCCTCTGTCCTCTTTGTTAGTGTCTCTCCTGTGGCGCCTGTCATCCCTCATTACAAAAGACTGTGTATATCTGTCTGTCTGTCTCCCCCACCCCCGTACCCTGGCTGTGGGCTTCTTGGGAGAATGACCTTGTATCAGTCAATTTGTACTCAATACCTAGCACAGAGTCTGGCCCACCATAGGCCCTCAGGTCTCACTTCTAAAATGAAAAGATGCTTGGCCTTTGCCAGACCTGTGGTGCAGGCAGTCAAAAAAGTACAAGAATGAAGTACTCAGCATTAAAATAACAAACCAACCAACCAACAACAACAACCACCACCACAGGTTGGCCCAAAGAACCAAGAATTCTTCAGAACACATTTCTCATTTTCCTTCTAGCTCTTGTCACTTGGCAAATGATACTGATGCTTCTCTCAGGATTGGCTAAGAGAGGCTGAAAATATGGCTAGGCTGGGTTGGGGGTAGGGAATTGGAGGAAACATAAAACAATAAAGATGATTTAATTTATATCTGATTGCAGCAACCAGCTGGCTATGTCATCAATTATTATACTCTAGAAGTTATTAAAGAGCACCTCTGTCACAGGCCCCCTTATTAGCTAGGGATTTATGGAGCACAAGCCACAGGAGAAAATATCGATATCTCAGTCACAACATCACCCATGGACGTCTGGCTCAGCTATCTCTCAGCCCTATCACTTGTCATATGTCCTCATTCTTAGGCCCTACAGCCTCAGGTTCAACTCTGAGAATGTTTTGCTTCTAAAGTGTGCACGAAGGTAAATAACTTTACAGTTGTGATTTGGTCTATTTTGTGTCTGACTCAACATTTGTGGCTATAATATTCCTACTATCCTGGTAGAAAGTATTCTTGGTTGATTCAAATATTTCTAGAGTTTTCTGTTGTATAAACCACCTCCTTTGATGGAGTCTCTCATTTCAGTGAACTTTTTAAATGAAGAGCTTGGCACTGGATTTCATGTTAACTAAGACCTCCTGTTGCAGCATGAGCCCTGGAACCTTGAGTTTTTAGTTTCTTTGGTCTATGCTCCACCTTTGAGATTCCATTGCAGCTAGACCCCAGACCTCCCACAGGAAACCTCCTGGTTTCTTTACCCTGATCTCTGAACTTAATGCAAATGAGTAATTTTTTCTCAGATGACTTGACAGTAAAAGCACATTTATTTTTAACACAGTTGGATGCCTTACACACTCCTTGAAGCAATTTATTCCTAATTATAACCAATTATTATGTGTGATGCCAAGAAATTAAAAAAAACACAAATTGCAGTTTTAAGTTTAAGACCTGTGCAGAAGAAAATAATGATATAGAGCAATCATGTCAATTTTTCCTTTGAAGATTACATTTTAAAAGATCTAAAAGGCTTTCCACATTTTGATTCCTTGAAGTCCCAAAGTGACAACAGAGCCAGAAAGAGATGACACAAGAAAAGTATCAATTTAGTTATTTATCTAGAAATGAAGAGTTAGGTGTTATTAACAAGCAGGTAGATCATACCTGATGTTTTACAAAGTGACTCACAATCACCTAATCATGTGAACACCCACACACGTACAGAGAAACCACTTGTGGACAGGAATGAAGGAACAGGACAGAACTGAGTCCCTTCCTTGGGGAAGGATTCTACTGTAAATAGAGTCTGGGTGAGAAGGGAATAAGAAAAGCACGAGCATGAAATGGGGGGGTCAGGAATTAAATCCACATATTCCGACAAATAGCCAGGCTAGGGTCATATGCATGCATATAAATGAAATACACACCATATGTACTCATATCTTTTTCATCCCCTGGATGAGTCTACTTTGCCACTGAGGCTTGATCTTAAGGTTCAGGGGCTCAGCCTGCATATGGGAATAATACCCAAAGCAGCACTGCTCGTGGGAGCACTAGATTTTAACACCATCAGTTGGTTGCTCGGCTTCATGATGTCTCATACAGCAGGCAGACCAGGTGGGTGGTAGATTTGGCTGTGTGAGAGTCTGGGTGTGTTCCTTTCACAAAACATATGTCAAACCCCACTGAAGCTGAAAGGAACCTGCAGACTGTAAAGCATCCCTCTCTTTGAAGAGGGATCCTGGATCAGAGATCACAACATCTCAGTGGCTGGAGTCACACTTGCCCTCCCAGAGCTCTGCACACCACTGTATGACACCTGCTGAGCTTAGAGGGCACCCAGCTGGCGGGACTGGTACTGTATTGGGATAGAGGTGGGGGTGACTGTGCACCACCGTCTATCAATCTGTCCCCCTTGGAAGTGGCTCAAAGTGCCTTGTGGTCAAGATTAACAACCTGCAGATCCTCCTCTGATTTCAGAGGCGTCAGAGGTACTGCCCTCCAGTAGATCAGGAGCTTCACTGTTTGAGCATTGTGCTCCAAATATGGTGGACAGCCATATGCCTGTTGAGTGTCTACTGCATGCCTGATGCATTGGAAATGCAGCAGGGAATGAAACCAAGTCCCCACCCTTGCTGATCTTGGTTTCTGTCAGAGAATTGGAATGCGTGGCGACCACTGGTTGGAGATGAGGTGCAGCTTCTCTACTTGGGAGGTGCCTGCCCACCATTCCAAACGTGATACATCCTAAGCTTACCAACTTCTCTTATGCTGGCTCCTTGCTGAGCCTCTGTCAGGTTCTGTGTCTGCACCACCTCTGCTTCAGCTTTACCATCTATCAGTAAGAAAGAAACTGCAGGATCCCCAGAGAAGGAACAAGTATGATTTCAGGCTTCCAGTCCCATGCAGCCAGCGGGAGCTGCCGGTTCTTAGAGGATAAAATAACTTGGGTTTCATGATTAGGACAGACGTGTGAGGAGATGGATTCAGACTAAGCAGGGCATACTGCAGGGCACAACACAGGGACATCAGAAGTGGGGAGTTTGGGGGAGGAGGAAGGGCAAGTTTAATCTGAGAAAGTGATTATGGAATCTAATTAGCTTCTCATTTTCCTTTGCAGAAAGAACATTCAATTCACTTAACGCCACTCCACAAGTCTTTCTACTCTCATCTGTACCCAGGGGAAAACAAATTCCAGTGCATTAGGGCATTTGGATGGCAGCACATCACAGCTGAGGGAGCGCCTAGGCTTGGCTCTGTTTCCAACAGCCCTGTGACCCTGGGCCCATGGCCACACCCCTTTGGGGGACCCTGGGTTCAACTGCTAAAATGCAAAAATTAGACATTACTTAAAAATCTTCTTGCCCTCCAAACACTTTATTTTCATCTTTTCATTATCTCACATTTTTTTCTTTTCCTTTATTACCCTTCCCCTACCCATCCCACCTTCCCAACACCTTTAGCAGGGATAAGGGGAAAAAATGAGAATCAAGACTTGTCATGTAGAGGTACAAGATCCCAACAATGAATGTAACTGTACTGCATCCCTAAAATGTACCAATAAACTCAATTAAAGCTGAAAAAAATCTTCTTTAACTCTAAAATACTGGATTTATTTTTAATATATATCCATACTATGACTTCATAAGATATTTAGCTACAATTTTGGAATGACCACAGCTCTGCCAAATAATACTTTGAACTTTACAATCAGATAACCCGACATTCTAATGATGATTCTACCCACTTGCCTTTGGGCCACTGACTTAATTTTTCTAGTCTTCAATATATAAAACCAAGACAATAATAATAGTATTTGTTTTATACAATTGCTTGTGGATTAAATGGGCTAATGTATTCAAACTACTTTGCATAGCATTTGGGACTCAATAAATATTTGGCATTATTTTCTTGAGGTCTTGTTTAATGTAAAGATTTAGAATAAGTTAGATATTTTACCTAAATTTTTTTTAAATGTATGGTGGGCATGGTCTCTCTCTCTCTCTCTCTCTCTCTCTCTCTCTCTTTCTCTCTCTCCCTCCCTCCCTTCCTCCTGCCCTCTCTCCCTCTTTTATTTTTTAAATTGCTTGCATGACATGCCAGGAGAAGTTTAATGGTGGGAAGCTAAGTAATGGAGTGAGACTGAAATAGCTCCATGGAAATAAAGCATTTAATGTGGGAATAAATGAAGTTGCCACCCAGAACTAACAGCCAGAGTCCTGGCTGGGCTGTTATTAATGAATACGATGGTCAAGATTTATATAGATATTTTAAGGAGTAACAGTACTGCACGAAATCCTAGGTTTTATGCCTGGGCTGATGTAAGTAAGATCAATGGGAAATCCATTAGGTCAAGATTTAATGAGTGGGAATGAGGCTTCCCTAGCATTGAAACTCTGTGTGTGATGGCCAGGCCACCAAGGATGGTCTCTCTAGGAAGAGCTATGAAGACATGGAAAAAAATGTTAAGTACTTGGAGACAGAGGAAAAGGGATGATGGGCCACATTTATTTTCCTTTGATAGACAATGCAGAAAAAGGATGGTGAGCCTGTTTCCTGAGTGCCTTCTGGGAGCACAGGCTAGCAGGCAGGAAGAGATATCCTCCTCATAGAAGGCTTTGCTAGAACTGACTGAGTATGGTGCACATCTTACTGCCAGGACCTTGGTCACCTTTGAGGATGCATGTGCTAGACACCGCAGGTGGTAGATGAGCCAAATGCAGGACTGCAGGCTGTTTTAACTATTGACCATGACACCTAGTATTTGTGCAAAGTGCATGCCAGGTGGCATATTTGTAGCCTGAAACATGCTGGAATTTTCTTTGTGACTTGCCTTGTTTCATCATTATCAGAAAGAGGTGGTTCATGCTGTCCTCCTAAGAGCTCTGCTATATAGTCAGATTTGGGAGTAAGAATCTCATATATGCATTCATTTCCCTCTTTGCTTTGTATGTAAGGAGCATGGAAAGACCAGCTCGCGGCTGACTGAGTCATCCCTGTACTTTACTTCTGAGTACAGTAGGCCAGGGAGATGTCTTAACTTGGCTCACTTGTGGAGAAAGTGATTATCCATCTTTCCTTGTCCACGTTTCATGTTTTTATTTAGAACCATACTAGGCTTGGTCACATTATTAGTTTTACTTGGATGTTCCTCCCTTAGGATCCTAGTTTAGCTCCCTTGCCGGTCCACTCCTGGTTCAGCAGTAACCTTAACTGTATATAAACCTGGTGCAGTTTGTTCTCCTTGTGTAGGTATTAAACTACCTACCCTTTCCCTTGCTTGTGTTTTTTTGTAGACATTTGACCCTTTCTGTTCCCTGATTTACTCAGTTTCCAATCCTTCTTCTTTCAAATACTTTGTTAACTATTTATGCACTACTTCCATATTTCAACTACACATTTTTAGCTTTGTTTTCCGGATGTGATTAGATTTTTTTCTCCTTAGTGATGGCTTACTTTAAGGGCAGAGCACATGGTGAAGGCTTTTCTATCTTTCATCAGTCCCAAGGACATATTCTGTGCACTTTAAAGGAATTTTATTAATAACTATAAAATAGTATAAATTTATCATTAATTGCACTTTAAAGGAATTTTATTAATAATTATAAAATAATATAAATAATTATCATTAATTGGGTGATTACTTTGTATCAGGTACCATGCTCAACATATTGGATATGTTATTCCATTTTATACAAAATCATACCTTTAATAGACAAACTAAGGCTCAGAGTTTTTTAGTAGCCTTAAGATCACACGATTAGTAGGCATATCCATATCTATCAGACTCCAATGGCCATCTTTTAATCACTGAACCATATTTCATCTTCAAGCTCTAATTTGATCCTTTCAGTAACACGACAAAGTAGCCATCATTACCTTTATTTTATAAATAAGAAAAACAGAAACAGAGGCTCAGGAAAGTTAGGTGACTTACCTGAGACAATCCAGTTAGGAAACAGAACAGTAGCACGTAAATAATGATATTTTGATTCTTACCACTGAGTCATGGAGCTCATTACAAATATCAAGGCTCTTTATGTTTTCTCACTTTGGTGACCTGTGATTGCCAGCATCAAGTCAGTTCTTCTGCGTCTCCTTCCTCCTACCAGGATTCCACTGGGCTAGGGCTGCAAAGGATTTGTCATTCTCATGAAAAGTCACAAAGAAAGTATTGGCCTGGACTAGAGACCAAGCATCTAAATGGAGTTTATGTCAACCAGTGTCCTCTGAATAGTGCCAAGACGACAAATGAGTGGACTTGTTTTGCCAGTAAGTTCAAGGAACAAATACTCCTTGCAAAATCAAGTTATTTTCTGTCTGAAAATGTAAGGAATTAATTACACAAGAAACTAGACATTCACTTTGATAAATGAATTTTTATTGCATATTCACTGAGCACCTAAGCTTTAGGTACTGTAGGATGAGTGCTCAAGGAAATAATGAGAATAAAATAAGTAGTTGCTGAGGATCCAGACTTACCTTATAAAACCATAGTCAATGGTTGATGGAAGCAGGGTTGAGGGATATGGATGTACTAAATGTTACTTGTTGCTGGGTAATATGTATAATATTAAGTGTATCCAGAGGACAAATCTTTCTGTTGGCCATTCCTTGCAGGAATTACAGCTGGAGAGAAAGCTGGGGGGAGGTTATTAAGAACCTTGTGTATCATGTTGGAAAGTTCAAATTTGCTTTTAAAGTGATGGGAACCAGAGAATGTGTTAAGTAGTGTGATTTTGAAATTTATATTTAGAAATGACAAACATATAAATACTTGGAAACTATTCATAGTGTTTTAGAAAATACCTTCCTAAAGTTAACCATCTCATAGGCCAATAAAGTAATCAAGAGTATTGAGTCTTTCTTGTCTAGAAGCACCTTTTCTGGGCGTACTAAAATGATCCATATTTATATCTGACTCAGTGGGAGGGGAGATCTTGAGACTATTTCTACTTTAAAGTAAGTCTTTGCTTCATTCCTTCATTTTCACTAGTATGTCAGAGCAATTCAATTCAACATCCTGGCTCAGCCCTTGGCATGAATTACTACACTAGGTACTACAGGGTTTACAGAAGGAGTGAACCCTTCCTGCAAGAAACTTTCAACATCTTAGAGAACAGTCATCAAGAGTATAAATGACTATAATGCAAGGTAGAATACAGCACCATTTATGCTAACAAACACTCCAGTGTTCCAAAGATTGAGAAATTAGCCAGATATGGTGGCCTATGCCTGTAATCCCATCTATTCTGGAGTCTGAGGCAGTAAGTTAGCAACTTCAAGGGAAGAAAGAGTAACTTAGTGAGACCATGTCTGAAAATAGAAAGTTAAAAAGGCCTGAGGATATAGCTTACTGAAAGGCCTTGGATTCAATTCCTAGTACCACCAAAGGGAAAAAACATTTTTTTTTTTAAGATAGAGTAATAAGTACATTTGCAGAGTTTGGGAAAAGGGTTCCTAGAGTAGGTAATCTTAAAAGATAAACAGTTATTAACGAAGATAGAGTTTAGTGGTAGAAAAAAATAATAAAAATGACAGAGAGGATTAGGTTGAGTTGGTTTGTGCGGGAACACAGGGAGATTTACCTGAAAAGATGGATCAAGGCCTTGAATGGCAGGGTGGAAAGACTGCATTTGATTTTATAGTTCCAACAGCTCAAGCTTTCTTTCAACCATGTTTCAGAGGTCAATACTAGACCTTCCCAGCTTCAGAACAAATGAGTATTAGAGGGGCGGTGATTCTTTTCCAAGGAGAGAGTTAATTGATTGATATTACGGAGTCGTCATATATGGCCAACCCAAAATTAAAAATCCACGTTTGAAGATGGATACTGTTTTAGAGCCAAGCCACGCCCTCAACCCCCATTTCTTAGATCCAGATCTGTATTTTCTTAGCACACAATTCCCTTGAGGGAACTGCTCTTGTTTTTCTCAGGAGTCATTTGTTATCTTAAATATTGGCATCTTTGAGATAAGAGTTTTCTAAATCACATTTACAGAATGCTTGTAAACACTCCTCGTGTTTAGAACAGCTTTCTTCATTGACCTTGTGCCACTGATGTGCTCCAAGCTACTTCAGGGCATTAAATCCCCCGAAGCTTTACCATGGAAACATACTCCCAAGTCATAATTCTTCCCTCTGCCTGGGTGTGGGCCTCAACCGTTTATGTGGCGGCTCGCATAACTAGTCCAACAGGATTTTCAGTAAAACCTGAGCTGCCATAGGGATACAATATTTCTTTTCCTAATTGCTCATAATTTCACCCTATTTCTTCTAACAGCAATTGAAGATGACATTACACTGCCTTTTATGTCAGCTGATGATGCATAATTCTCTCCAGGAACAGCCAACGACTGTATTTACTAACACATTAAAAAACATCGATGTGTATTCAGGGCAGAGCCATTTTTACACCCGCATTTTATGTGTGCATCAGATGGTGGAATGTCGAGAAGAGGTTTCACTCTTATAAAAAACACCTCCCACCCTTGCAGATAGATTGCAACTGAAGGCATGTAAATCACCAGGGTATTGGCTATTCTCTGCTTGTTCCTTTTCCCCACAGACCCCCACCCTGGCCACAGATCCATTTTCTTTCCTTCCTTGAGTTGTTCTGCACTTGGAAGGCTGTGCAGTGCAGGTGCATCCCCTGGACCACTTTATCCTCTGGCCCTGTTTGGGTTTGGTCAGGGGAGTCACCAGCAAAAGATCAGAGGATGGAAGGAAAGAGAATTGGGACATTTCTTGTTCTCTCCTTGTTTTTGATGGTCCTACATCCTGCTATGACTATACCTTCGTTGGGTTCTGGGGACCTGATTATCCTTTTGTCTCTGTCCTGGAAGTGTAATGATTTTCATCAGTAGCCGAACTCTGGGTACAAGAGCAATGCTCACACAACCCTCTACAAGTGACCTGCTCATATAGGTGTCTGCATTTGTGAAATTTCGGGTGGGTTCCATTTCTATTGGGATTATGATGGAAACACCAGATATTGCAGTTTCCAAAGTTATTTGGCAAATGAGCCATCGTTCACCTTGGCCATAAGCAGCTTAGACCTTTCTTTCATGGCCATCAAGGGGCCCACTATGGAAATATCACTAGAAGTAATTAATTGTAGGAAATTGAAGCTTATTTCTTTTTTAAAAAATGAGGCCAGAATATTCTACTTCAAATGGAGACACTATATATTGTAGGTTTTATATGCATAGCTTATAGAAACCCATAAGATGATAAGTCTCAATGTGAATAATGTGTTCATGGATGGAAAAAAGGTCAGGAGAGGAGGCATAATACATCAGCTCTGTGTGATTCAGTGGACTCTTATTTATAAGTGAGGAGAGAAGGTAGGATAGATAGAACACTGAAAAACACTAAAAGCTTATTCTACATAGTCTGGTTCCTTATACAGGATTTTAATTACTAATCTCCATAATTAGGATGTAATGCAATGCTATAAAATTTTACCCAATGCTAAGTGATATTTTGTAAAAAAATATAGATTGCTTAGCATGAAAATTCTGGCAAGATGTAGCTCTATTTTCAGTTCTACTATTGTGAAACTTTGGCCAAGTCACTGTGCCTCAGTTTTACCTTATCTAAGTGGGGACAATTTCAAATAACTGATTCACAGAACTGATATGACTATAAAATTTAATTATACGTGTGAAACTACAGGGGGTATAAATACATGTTATTCACTATCAAAATAAGATCTTATTTTATTTCATTAATAGAAGTGAAGGTTAAATGATTTGTTCTTTAACAGGCAAAATTTATATGATTTGGAAGCCAACAAAGCTTTTTGCTGGAGGTTATAGCTGATGGGACTGAGAGCTCAGATGTAAATCGTCAAACCACTTTCCTTGTTCCATGACCTGTACTCAGAGGGTGCTCATCTGTATTTGTGGACTAGATGTATTTTTTCTAGATTGGATTGCATATTTTAGTAATGTAATTGCATAGGCGAAAATACTCACCTGACTTTTTCCTAAAGCACTTTAATTTCAATCAGATTCTAGCTAAATTAACAATAGGTTCTCATGTTCAGACTAAAGACTGAGTGATGAAAGATTTCTGTAGGGCTTCTATAAAGACTAATGATACAAAATTATACTAGAACTGCTATTGTGCCCTGTGACCCCATAGAACAAGTAATGGATTGTATGTAGAAAACTTAAAATTTGGTAGAAATAATAGCAGGCTACTAATAAAGGAAAATGAAGATAATTGGAATCATTTCTTCCTATAAAAAATGGGTAGAGAGGATCTTTAACCACGAGGGAAATGCTATAAAGTTGTTGAAATAGCTGGCACAAAAAGGTGCTTGTGCTTATAGCAATTATTATTAATGAAAGCAAAATCTGATTTTAATTTGTCATCTTCCACCCAGAGCATATTAACTATGATAAGCTGTACTATGTTAAAGTAACAAGTAAATATCTGTGCCTTAGCATGGTGAGGTTTTATTCATTGTCCATGCCTCAGGCTGACATAGATTAGGTGGCTGTCTTCCAGGAGGTGATGCAGAGGTAAGAGATTCCACCAGCATGGAGTCATGCCAGCTGGGACTCATGGTTTCAAAGGGAGAGAAGAAGGAATGGAAGATGCTGTCATAATACCCCCAAGGACCAGGATGGGAAGGAAGTGGCTTCTTTCTCTTTCATGAACCTATCATTGAGCAAACTTAGCTTCATTTCCTCTGAGCTAATACCAAGAGAAACTGGATAATTTTGCTTTCCTTTGTCCCCAAGAAAATAAAAATTGTGTGTTTCTACCACACCTGGCAAGTATAAGACCCACTGTCCCTAAGAAAATATATTAATAAAATAATTCTTTTTATGTTAGATAGCTTCCTGACTTTTGTATTATAGCAAGTCAATATCTTGTTTTGGTAATCCCCAGCCCTTGGAACAACAAGCATGTTCCAGTCTGCCATGGATTGGTGAAGTTCAATAGGATCTGCGTCTTGAGCTTATTTTTACCGCTGCTCTTCTGGACAAGAAACAGCAGAAAAAAGAGTGGAGGCTATGGGCCTAGAGAGTGGAGAATGTGTGGGGAGCGGTTGTTGGATCCAAGGACTTGTCCAGAAATGAAGGTATGGAAAGCTTCTTGAGCCTTAGTAGAGGAAGCAAAAGGTCCATAAGATTCTCAGAGATCAGGGGGAAAGAAAAGCTGTATCCTTGGGTAACCATCAGTTAGAAGAAGGAAGCTGTCATCTCATCTGGTAGAGTGAGGCTGCATTAGCAATGTGCCATGAGAGTCATGCCTAGCAATGAAATCCCAGGAAATACTGTAAAGTCCAAGAGGAACCTTCGGAAAAAAAAGGCTTTGAACTATTCCATACTTTTTATAAAAGTATGTTGGCCTATCTTTTATAACATTTTAAACCACTAGTCACATTTACATTTATAACTAGTCTTAGAGCCTGGATTTCACATTTAGTCTTTCATTAATGATATATTTTTGTGCAAAAGGCATGGAAAATTTGGGCCCCCAACTCATAAACCTTGCTCATTCCCAGGTATGCATTCATACTGAATCTCTTTCATATCCTCTATTTGTGTCCAGACCCTTCTTTTCTTCAGCCCCTAACTCAAGTATTACCTCTTGTGTAAAGTTTTCCATGATTTCTTCCTAGACGACCGATTGTTAATGAACCTTGAAAGTATGTATCGTCCAAATGCTAGATATCTAATTTACATCACTTGTAATATTTCCAAGTTTGTTTCCTGTTTTATTATTGAGCTTCTTGTGTCTGGTTTCTGAAGCCTGAGATCCAGTGCAAAGCCCAGACTCCATGCACCATAACTGCATGCAGTAGCAATGAATGATTGCTGTGGCCCAGCCAAGGGAGCAGCAGGGGCTAAGTTTTGTAGTAAGAAATGAAAACATGCTGCAAACACAGTTGCCTTCGTATGAGTTAAGACTTGGAGATGCTGTGTTGCAAGGGTCCTTGTTGGTACTTCTCTGTATCAGTGAGGAGGGAGATGCTGTCACAGATCCATCTTCCTCTTTCCCTTTGTTCAGTGAAGGGCAGGGAATTAAGTTGAAGCCTCATCAAGCACATCTAGAGTCACCCAGTGAGTCTCAGCTTGGGAGAGGGACTCATGCTTGTGCACTTTGGGAGTTCAGGGGAAATGTCCGTTGTAGACTACATGAATTTGTTCGTTTGTTTTTCTGTGATGGTTGTTGCTGTTGTCCTTGGGATAACTGAAAACATAGATTTGCACTCGCACAGGAAATATGGTTTCTTGGAGCCACCTGGAGAGTGGACAGTCAACATCCGTCTACCTAGGTCCAAGGTCTGTAGAACACACTGGGTTTTAATTCCTTCAACTACCTCTGTATCAGTGTGGTGTGAGTGCATTCTTGATGCTCTCCTCAGAATAGGCCTCCCCATAGACTTCGATCAACATCAGAAGGAACCGCAAAGTCAAACTCCTGTACTTTCACTTTGATTGAATAAAAATATGCCGAACACCCACTGAGTGCTAGTTACCAGAGAAAGAGAGCTGATTTGAGCCTTAGTGAAAAGGTACACTGGGAAACATTAGTGAAATCACTTTGTGTAGATCAGAGTTAAGGTTCAACAGGTCAGAGCTTTAGTTTCGATTACTGTTTACTTTGACCATTTCTTGAGTATTTACTACTATGTATCAAATGCTATGTCAGATTTTTATATGTATATATTACTCGATCTGCGTAATAATCCTATTTACCTCATTTTTTTTCGTTCAACAAATCTGAGAGACCCTATGGTGTGTCTGACAATGTCTCAGTCCTAAGCGAGCATAATAATGTATATGATGGACAAAACTCTGTCTTATATGGGCTTTAAAACCTGGTAGTTAAGACAGATAATAAGTGAAATAAAAAGTGAAACATCAGCTTGTTAAATGAGGACAACATGTAGGGAAAAAAATGAGGCCAAGTAGGTGGGCACAGTAACAGAGAAGACCTTAGAGAGAAGGTGAACTGTGAGTAAGGATGTGAAGGAAGAGATGGAGTGGGCCATTTGCACACCTAGGTAAGAGCACCTTGAACCCTACTCCTCAGCTTTGGATAGCTGTTGCTTGACCATGCTGCCAACTCTATCAAAGTCCACAGATACCTTCCCAAAGAAGCCCTCCTGGTTGGGTACTGCATGCCAAGAAGCATTTGTGAAATGCACAGTGGTTTCTCCACTTCACCATCCACCATCTCTGAAGATTAAAGCGCACTTGAGTTTCCTAACACAGAGAAAGTGGCTAATGTGCTTTCCGCTTTGTAGTTATAGGATGCTCCATATTCAGGGCTTTAGACAAATGGAAAGTATTTCCTTCTGACAAAAGCCTCCGTGTTTTTTTTTTTTTCTGGTAGTGGGGATCAAACTCAGGAGCTTGTGCTAGCAAGGCAGGTATGGTGCCACTAAGCTAAATCCTCAGCCCTCCTGTTTTGTTTTGTTTTTCATTGAATTTATTGGTGCTTTTTAGGTATACAGTACAGTTACATTCATCATTGGGATCGTGTACCCTTACATGACAGATCTTGGTTCTCATTTTTTTCCTCATACCCCTGCCCTCCCTTCACCCCTCCTCCCTTCCCTACTTACAAAAGCTTTGTTTCCATTTTTTTGTTTTCTCATATTTTTTCTTTTCCCTTATTTCCTTTCCCCAACACTTTCCACTTCCCCTACACCTTGAGCCCCTTTCTTCCTATTTCACATTGTCATTTATACAATTTGGATCTATTTACACTTCTGGTTTTTCACACCAGAGAAACACTTGTTCATCTTAGTTATTTCACTTACGAGTACGGCCTCAATATGCATTCATTTTCCTATGAATGACTCTAATCTCTCTTGCTTTAAGGCTGAGTAGTACTCAGTTTTATAGAAAAACCACATCTTCTTTATTCAGTCTCTGTCTGAAGGGTAATAGCCCAGCCCTCGTGTTTTTAATAGACAATAAGAAGGACTGAAGTTGTCTGTGGCAGACTGCTAGATGAGTGGAGCACCTCTCAGGCTGGAACATAGAAGAGTCGAATGCTCAGGTTTCTGACCTCACCACTTTCCTGCAAGGCGAACTTCTTCACTGTCTCTCCCTCCAGCACTGCCCAGGTACTTTCCTTCCATTGTAGCTTGATTCCCTCACACCGTTCTCCTATCCCTTATCCCAGCCCTCCAATTAATGAGCACTGATTATGTGTCCTACACTGTCCTTGGGGACGTGCAAGAATAAAATAAGACAAACAAGTAAAAATCCCTCCCTTGAGCGAATTGTGTTTAAGTAAATGGAGATTGATTATGAGCGATCGGTAATGGATCAATGCCATTAGATGATGTGAAGAGATGACATATAAAGTTTTAGAGTTTGAAGTGGAGGCAAGCCCTCCCTGAGAGGATTCCCCCTTGCAATAACCTGTGGGACACAGGGGTGAGCCGTGCATATACTTGAGGGGGTCACTGAGAGACTGCTTGGTGTGTTTGAAGACCATTTGCAGCTCCGTGAGATGGCCCAGGGTAAATGGGGGCAGGGGAGCAGTCGAAGAGGAACCTAGACAGGCAGTGGAGGCAGAATCATCTGAGTCTCACGGAGCGCTGTGAGGAGTGAGATGAGAAGTTGGAGGGTGGACATGATTTGACTTAGGTGTAATTGTACTTTCCTGACTGTTTTGTGGATGGCAGCCTGAGGGAGCAAGCTCAGAAGCAGAGATTAAATGGCAGCTGTGGTCATGCAGGTGAGAGATGACAGAGATTTGGACAGGTGTGGTTGTGAGAGGGGCTGAGGAGAAGTACTCGGATTTTATGTATATTTTGAGGGTACAGACCATAAAATTTGGATGTGGGTGTAAAGCAGTGAAGAGTCAGGAATGACCCCATGCAATGCAGACATTTGTCCACTTTTCAGGGTCAGTTCCAGCTGCCACTCTTCAAAGACGTTGTTGAGCACTTCAGAGATTTCTCAGCCTCTCTTCTAAACAAATACCACATATGGGCTGTTTAGCCAATCCTGCCCTTAAATGAGTGTTTTCTTTTCTAATACTTCTAAGTCTAATCTTCCCAAGAATTCTGAAAACTCATAAAAAGCTGAAACTATGACAGATACTTCCCAGTAGCTCCAGAAGTCGAAGGAACAGTATCTAACACAAAGGGAACAGAAATGATTTTGCTCTTTGTTTTTTAATCTTAATTTTGAGACAGGTCTCGCTGCGTTGCTACATTGCCCCAACTCCTGCCTCATCCTCCATTTAAATCATGATTTGTTATAGGATGTAGAGTCTAGCATTACTACTCAGGAGGCTTGTCACCATGCTCAGGAAAGCAGTGTGCATGTGCGAAGAGTCCAGGGTCTGGACACAGTGAAGAGGACTGAGAATAATGAAGACACAATGGCCAGACCTATCTCCAGGGGAGAAGGTGGGTGTCCCTGACAGGCTGGACTTCTTCCTACTACAGCACACTCAGCTGTTATGCACAGAGTGCTGAAGAAGGAATGTCCCAATAGCGGCTAGTGAAGAGAAAAACATCAAAGCAAAATCTGACTCCCAGCAAATACTGGAGTGATTTTTACCTTCTGTTAGTTTTAACATTCTGAGTGGTTCAAAACTCCTATTTACCTTTAAAAGGTTCCCTAACACTTTAGCGACTAATCTGTTTCTTGTTTCTCTTGAGAAAGTCAGTATCTATTATCCTGAAACCTGAGTGCTCACACGCCTGCTCCTGTGTGTGTGTGTGTGTGTGTGTGCGTGTGTGTATGCACGCGCGTGTGTGTAGCAAGGCTTCAAGGCTGAGGAGTCATTCTTGATCTAGCACCAGGTCGAAATACACAGCTGAGGAGGCAGATGGACTTAACTCCAGGAGGTGTAGTACATGTGACTATTCAGGAAGTACTGGGTGATTGCTTGATAAACAGCCCCTTGGTCTGGGAGTCAGATCCTAGTCTCCGAGTTAAGAGTCTTAGAAAAGTGCAACCTTCTTGTGTGTCATTCAGCTTGTAGATCAGTGTTTTTCCAAACTATAGATTGAGGTATATTATTAGGTCATGAGATTAATTTAGTGAGTTGCAAATGATATTTAAAAATGAAATAAAATAGGATACAAAATATCAGAATATT